AAGCTTAGGACCAGAGGCACAGATAGCGATGGATGAGTGCAAACCCACCGCAGGCCCCGCCAGCAGGGTAAGCGTGAGGGGGAGGGGCAGGTAACACAGCCTGAGGTCCACGAGCACCATCCTCCTGGGAAAGAATCTGATTTCCTTTCCTGAAGCCTGGGCATCACAGGGGAGGGGGCAGAGCTACCAGAGGCCGGAGAAGGTGGTCAAACTGTGGGGACCACTGCTCCCCGATGCACCGCAGGCTCTCTCCTGGGTCCCTGCTGAAATCGCCCCCCTGCTTGGTCAGTGCTACAGGCACCCACGGGCAGCAGTGCTGGACTTGGGAGAATTTAGCAGCAAGTGGCAAAGTCATCATCCCCGTCACGGTCGCCCCGCTCCCCACGTGAGGTGCTGGGGACACAAGAGAAGTGAGCGCCCTCCTTGCTGTCTGCCTTTATCTGTGAGCAGCTTCTACCTTCTAACATCCCCACAGCAAAGGTGGGGGACACGCGTGGTGGCTGAGAGGGCCCTCAGAGAGCAGCCGGCCCAGCCACCCTCACCGAATACAGGGTCCGAGGAGGGCACTGGGGCCTGGACCACGAGGTTGGCTGGGCCGAGCAGGTGAGGCCGGAAGCTGCGGTCACATCAGGCCACCAGACCCCAGCCTCAGTCGCCCTGCCGCACCTGGAGCTGAGTTTCGACCTCTGAAGGGCCTCTCCTCCTGCCACCTCACTTCGCTGGGAGGAAAGATATATTTTCACCTCATTTTGCTGGAGAAAAGATATTTTGCACCCTAAATATTCATCTCTATGTCTCAGATAAGCAAATGGAGGTCAAGCCCTAGCCAGTCTGGCTCAGTAGTTAGAGCGCTGGCCTGAGGACCAGGGCCTTGGGTTCAATTCCTGGTCAGGGGCACCTACCTGAGTTGCAGGTTTGATCCCCAGGCCCGGTTGGGGGCACATGCAGGAGGTGACCAATCGATGTATCTCTCTCACATCAATGTTTCTCTCTCTCTCCCTCCCTCCCTTCCACTCTCTCTGGAAAGCAATGGAAAAAAATATCCTCGGTTGAAGATTAAAAAAAAAAAGATGGAGGCTGAAGAGGAAAAGTAACCTGCCCATCCCAGCTGGTCCCTCACCTGGAATTCAGGTGTGGGATCCTCTGTGCATTTTAACGATGACCCAGGCTCTCTAAGGAAAGTGTCCTGAGTCACAGCTCAAGCCTTTCCTGCTCATTTCCACGCTCAAAGAGATGAAAGCATCCGAAACCTTAACCTGGAAAACCTGAGAACAGACTGAGGCCCCAAGCTGCTGCCCCACCCAGAGGCCGCCAGTCCTTACCTTCAAATGCCCGAGCGGCGTCCACTAGATGGGACCAGTCCAGCCCCGTGCCGGTGTCCGGGAGGGGCATCAGGCCAGGGTCCGCGCACTTGGACTTGTCCGATAAGGACCCGTCGGAGAACCAGAACTCATCTAAATGAAACAAAACCAGAGTCAGCCAGATTGCAGCGCGTCGAGGGGCCGAGGGAACTTCTCCTGCCCCTCTACCCAAAGGAGAGACTACGGTGCAGTCACCCAAAAGACACAGCTGGAAAATCAGGGGTTTGCAAAAATGTCATGACCTCAAGACTCACTTAGAGGTCAGCCAGCAGAGGCCTGGGTGCAGGGGGATTAGAACTGAGCTTTGCACAGATGGGTCCTCCCAGAAGTCTCTTCCAGGGCAGGCTTCCCTGGGGACCTCCATCCGAGCCTCACTACCAGGACCAATCCCTACTTTCTTCAGGGTCAATTCCCATTTGTTTTTTCAATGTTTTTATTGATTTAAGAGAGAGGAAGGGAGAGAGGGAGGGAGACAGAAACATCAACAATGAGAGTCATTGATCAGCCGCCTCCTGCATGCCCCTTATTGGGAATTGAGCCCACAACCTGGGCATGTGCCCTGACAGGAATCGAACTGTGACCTCCTGGATCATAGGTGGATGCTCAACCACTGAGCCACGCCAGCTGGGCATGACTTCCCGCTTTTAAAGAGTGTTGTGAGTTTTCATTGTACAGAGCATTTGGCACAATCTCTCTCTAACCAGAAGTTTAAAAAGTGTCCTGGAGAAGTTACCTCAGCTGATCACTGCAAATCGAGATGCCGAGAGTGTCGGCTATTTTAAAATGCAGGAAGACTAACAGTTTCCATGAGGAACAGGCGAGAAGGAGAGGGGACATTTTCATGCTGTGAAGTAATGAGATGGCTGGGTCACTGGTTAAACCAAAAACCTCTCCCATCCTGCACTGAATGTTCCCCAGACTGTTTCCCTTTCTGTCCAAATGGGCCTTTGACGTTTTGTCTTTAAACTATCACCACAGGCCTCGAGTGTTACGTCGTCAATACTAGCTATAGGGCTCGTGCATCTGGGGGTGCATTTTTTACAGGCTCCCGCCGGGCTTTCTTGAACGTGCCTTTCCCGAACCTGCCCAGGTTCCTGCAGCTGCGTGTGAACACATCTGACTAATTAGCACAATCAAAATAATGACCACCTGGCTGTGTGAGCCTGCAATTAAGTCAGGGACATAATTAACTAAATGCACCTGTAATTTCTGTTCCCACATCCTCTTGGGTCACCGTGGAAAGCTGGCATTGGGACTGAGAGCGTTTGCCACTGGCCTTGAAGGACACAGGCTGCACTGAGCGACCTCGGACAGCTGCAGCTCCCCTGTTTTTAACTCTGCAGGTTTAAGGTGGTGTCAGTCCACCTACCTAGTCCCACAGCCTCCATCCCAAGGGGAAGCCAGTAATGGATTTTTTGTCTGCACCATTCCTGCCGCTCCCTCCACAGGCTACACTCATCTTCATGGAAATATCATTCCCCCCTGTGTATGGGGTGGACTCTGTCCTGGCCGAGGGGTGAACGAGGGGTGCATGGAGGTGACAAAGCTTGAGGGACGCTGGGACAGAGGGACAGCTCAGTCTCCTCCCATCCTGATGGAGTCTCTGAAACCCGGGAGGACAGGCTGAGCAGAGGCTGGGCTGAGCACTCCCAGGTCCTGGTCTTTAACCAGAAATTCAAGGTTCCACCCCCGGGCAGAAAGGTCAGGAAGCCCCGGGACTCTCACGTCTCTAACACGCTGGCTACTTTGCTCAAAGCAGGTTCTCTGCACTAAGTCAGAGAAATTACATAACCAGGTGGCAGCTCAGTCCCAGAGTCCCTCCTGTGGTGGAGTCTGAGGGCATGAATGGGGTGAGAGTATGGCCACGCTGTGGGGGTGCAGAGGCCGGGGAGGATGACCCGGAGTGCACTCCCCTCCCCCATCTCCATCACTGGAGACGGACGCACTGAAGCTGGGAAATTACTCAGGTGAGTATTTCTACCGAAAGTGCGCTGTCAGTCAGGTTTTGCTAAGAAATGCCAAGCTGAGGATTTCCTTTGCCTTTGAAAAGCAGTAATTCTTCACCTGAGCTTGTGGCACCTTATAGCCTAAGATCAGTCCTAAGGCAAGAGAATGCAGGACACAGGACCAACCCTGGTGGCCAGCACTGATTCAGAGGTGGGGTGTCAGGCTAATGTCCTTATACCACCCACTCTCTCCTCTTGTCCTTCCTGCAACTATGTTCAAAGAGCCACATTCCCCAAATACCCACAGAGGACTGACAGTGGGGACTCAACGTCTTGGTTTAAAGATTCAACCTCAACTCTCCCCGAGCACCATGACTGCCACGATGGGTGGCTGTTTGTAACCGAGCCAAGGCACAAATCTAGACCTTGGCGGCCAGGAAGCTGATGCCCAGAGTGAGTGGGTGGGTAGGTGGGTGGACCCTGCTCTCCACACCGCAGGGCAGGCCAGCCAGCTCTGAAGGTCTCCCCTTGTGGCCCTGGGTACAACTCACACAGAGACCACACGCAAAGTGGCCCTGATAGGTCTGGGATCTGGGAAGGTCTCAGGGTTTAAATGTCACAAGCTCTGGGCATCCTCCTAACCTCCAACTTTTATGGAGAGCCAGGAGTCAAGGAGGGAATACAGTCTGTGATATTTCTTCTTTACCCCCCAATTGTGACCAAGACTTTTGTGTTCAATTGATACCACAGAACTGGCGAAGGTGATTCGCAGGAGATGCCACTCCTCTAGAGTTTATCTGGAGCGCTGTCCACTCACCATCTATTTATGACACATTTATTAAGTGACTACTGTATGCCCAGTGACAGGTGCAGCAGGGGACAGATGGACAAAGCCCGTCCCTCCCGAAGCTCACATTACAAGTGATGGGAAAAGAGGCAATAAACACACAGACAGAACAGTGTCAAGTCTTTCAAAGAAGACAGAACAGGAGATGTGACTGGGGAGGCTGATGGCACATCTGGGGAAGGCTCGTCTGCAGGGGGTGACAGTTGCTGAGGAGGAGCAGCTTGGAGAAGAGCACAGGCTGGCAGAACAGCGCTGAGAACGCACAGACTTAAATCCACCATCTTTCTAGAAGCAGGAGGAAGATCGTTGTGCCAGTGACAGTCACCTGCCTCTCTGAATCATCCAAATGAAAAGCCCCCCCCCCGACAATCATATAATTAGAAAAAAAATTACTATCTCTTGCTGTTGTTTTTTTGTCTGAGACTCCAAACCATCAAAAATCCTTTACAATCCTTTTAACTGGCATTAGGCATCACTAATGGCATCCCTGCCATCACCTAGGTAACGTTTACTGAGCATCTGCTACCTTCCAGGTACCACCAGGTACGGTGTTAGCACCAGGGACAGAATGACCACAGACACAGGTTCTCCCTGGAGGCGCCCGGTCAACAAGCAGGTGACCCCTGCTGGTGCTGGTGCTGGTCTGGGTTTGGACGAGGTCGGTGCAGGGAGCCACCCCCAGCACGTGGTGCTCACTGCGGCAGCTGTAACTGGATTGTTCCCTGAGTTTATAGATGGGGAAGTAAAGGTGCCACCTGTCTTAGGTATCAAAGCCTGTTACCTCCAACCCAGCTCTTCCAGGTCAGTGGTCAGTGGCTGGTGGTACCCCAGGAGCCCACAATGCTTTTTTGGCCAATTCAGAGAAGAAAGTGACTCGCAGAGTCTGAGAGTTGGCTAACGTCCAGCCCTGCTGCCTGGGCCCCTGCCCTCTGGCCCAGGACATTGATCCTGTGGCTTCCTGATTTATCTAAAACCTGACATCACAGTGACCACCTTTACTGAGTCTGACGTTACTGCTGTTATAAAAGCCAAGGAGGCTTCCGTCCCCGGCTGGTCACCTGCTCTTACCACACAGAGTCTACATCTGGGGTCTGCAGTGCCTTGTGTGGGTGCTGAATTCTAAGGAAAATACTAACTTCTTTCATTTATTCTGCAACAACTCTCCTCTGCTTTTAACTTCAAGGGCCTCCTGTGTGAGGTGCCCAAGTTTAAGCTATAGGAACTGGGAACACACACAGGCTAAGAATCTTTTTATTTTTTCAAACTTAAGATATCTCATTAGACTATCCTCACAGGAATATTTCCCCCATTCCTGGGAGAGTTCCGATCCCCATTCCATTAAAACAAAAATCAGGAATTCTCTTTAAACATGTTGTGAATGGAACCTGCCTAGGTCGGGGACTGAGTGAGGCCAGGTGCCCGGTGGTCAGAGGGAAAGGACACTTGGATGCTTTTCTGGCATCACTGGTTATCTGGCCTATGAACCATGCATCCAAACGGCGAGTCCCCTTTCCTTTTCTATCTGGGCCACTGAAGTTTTATCCTGAAATCCCCCAGTAGTGGAAGCAAAGGCTCCGAACGCTGGGCAGAACCATCTCAGGATTATTTTCGATTGCTCGTCCAGGTCTTACTTTCACGCCTCCAAGCTGAAGACGTGATCTGCTCGTTTCAGTGACTTCACAGGAAACACACGTGAATCACGACATGAATCACATCCCTAACACGCTGGCTGAGTATCTGTCTCCCAGGGTTAGATCAAGATCTTGGTCTCCTGAGAGCAAAGATTCTGAGAGCAAAGGTTCAAATCTGGAGCATTTAGAAGCTGAAAATACCAGAAGCCTGGGACTGTGGTAATCACAGTGGAAGAGGCACAGTGGTGAGGCCTCCCGCTTCCACTGGGACAGACGGGCTCGCTCTCCTGTCCCTGCACGCTCCTCGCTCCAGCCTGGAGACGAGGTCTGAACGCGTCCCTGCCAGTGAAAGGTTCTCTCTGAAGAGTACATGCTTCCTGGGGATGCGCACATTTTAAAGTTGAAAAGAAAGGTCCCTGTGCCTTCTGAGCGTTTTGCCTAGTTTTGTTGTGTCGCCGCTCTTTAAACATCCGGTGCAAGAACATTCGACAGAACCAACCTGTGCTCCGAGTTTTAATGTACAGCGGAGACTCTGAGGGAGTAAGAGAAACAACCGGGCAACCTCAGATGCTCCTGGTGTGTCTCCCAGACATCTGCTGGGCACTGGCACCTACATTTCAACTTTCTGGGTTCCAGTTTCAGGCTGTGAGCTACTCTCAGTGACAGCTTCTCACAGAGGCTCTGGTGAGTGACCACAAACCACGGGAAGCAAAGCACGACTAAGCTCTGTCCTGAGTTGACACAAAAGGGGACAGGGACCCAGGTGAGTGTGGGAGGCTGAGGTCCTCCCAAGGACAACGAGACCCTTGAGGCTTACAAAGGCTTTTAAGAGGACATTAAAATTACCTATTTATTAAAAAGGAAAAACATTTACATTAGGGGATTAGAATATGTCTGACTTGGTTATCAAGAAGTTTAAAGGTTTCTTCAATTTAGGCAAATGGACTCTTTCATAATAGGCAGGATATTATGTCACTTAAAGAAATAGATTAAGAATTTTATGCGACAAGATTAATTTCCAATTATGTTAAACACCAGAAACATCATTAGGACTTTTATTTCATTCAGCTGGGATGTCTATGTGCACTAAAAAGTTCAAACTCGTTTTAAAGATAATGCTTTCTATGATGAAATTAAAAAAAACCTGACAATGAATGCATTTCTGGTTAATTCCCCATTCTTGCCATGCAACAGAAATTAACTATAAAAAAAGGAAATGAAGCTAACGTAATAAAAACCGTTAAACAATGACATGTTAATGAGGAATTGAAGTTATGTAAAAATCAAAGAATTTAGGATTTTAAGGAATATCATTTAGGAAGTATCCAGTCAATCTATGAACAGTAAACTGGAGTAAAGCAGACAGAGAACCTAAGAGATGAGACAGGACACGCCCGCCGGAGTGGAAAGCCAGGCCAACCCAGGGCTCCTGACGCCCACCTGCCCCCTGCACACTGCAAGGAATCGAAGGTCCAGGAGAAACAGAAACAGGAGGGAAAACCAAGTTTTCCTCCCTGCTCAATGCCCACAGGAAATCTACCACCCCCAGTGCCACAAATTTCTTTATAAAACCAGGTTTCAGGCATTTTTTTCTCTACAAATGTAATAGCTGAGATATGGCATAAAGGTCACTATTTTACTTGATAGAAATGTCTAGCACTGGCTGGGAGGCTCAGTTGGTTGGAGCATCATCTTGTGCACCGAAAGTTACGGGTTCGGGTTCAATCCCCGGTCAGGGAACATGCCTGGGTTGTGGGTTCAATTCCCATTTTAGGCACACATAGGAGGCAACCAATTGGTGTTTCTCTCTCTAAACATACCCTTGGGTAAGGATTTAAAAAAAAAAGGTTCAATATAGGTTTTCCAATTTTCTCCAAAATTGGTAGTATTGCTTAACTCCTAAAAAAATGTCCACTCTGGGGCTTTTATCATATTAAAAAAAAAGAAAACGGACCAGCAAATGGCATATAGTTTAAAAAATAACCCTCCCCCAACTTCCATAGGAGATAATCTGAGGGCCCACCGAGGCCCCAGGCAGAGCGTCGGAGCCCCACACTTACTGCGCAGGCTGCCCATGCCGGGTGCAGGCTGGGTCCGGGGGGGCAGGGTGCTGGGATGCGGCGGGGTGCTGCTGAACAGGATGTCGCTGGGCAGGGCCTGGTCCAGAACCGAGCTGCGGGAGCTGCCGAAGGAGGAGCCCCTCCGGTTGCTGCACATGCTCTCGTCGGAGAGGGTGCGGTACAGAGAGCGTCGTGGGGACAGGTTCCCATAGAAGGAAAACTAGGGTGCAAACGGGGGACACGGAGAGAACACACATTACAGAGCTGCAAGCATGGACTTGATCAACAGCATGGAGACTGCGCCAGAGCACCAGCTCAGGAACGCGCTTGGCACGTGGCTGCCCTGGCAAAGGCTTGTGGTCACCAGGCGAAGGCCTGAGGCCCCCGGTGCACTATGGGGTTTCAGTGTTTCCCTCCCATGACACTGTATGAAGAGTGTCATGAATTGGACACGCACAGCTTTATTAATCCTGAAATGCTAAATGGAACCTCCGTAACCCCGGAGCTTACGGCAGCGCCTGGAAAGGGAAAGGTTGTCATTCCAGGCAAGTCATTCAAAACCGCACAGAGCGCCAGACTGATTTTAATTTGAAATGACTACATTTTAATATTAGGCAATTTCTGCACTGATCAACTGCATGTGAGGTTCAATCTAATCTAAATAGTAATAAAACTAATTTTAAACACTGTAGCCTTCTAGGCCATACAAACAGGCTCAAGAGAAATGGAGTCGGTAAAGTGACATATTACTGTCTACTTAAAGTGTCGCTCATGAAAGTCCATTACAATTGTTGAAAACTTAATTTCCGTCATCGACCATAACCAGCTTTAAGGGAATCATTAAAATCATTGTGTATTAAAACACAGGGTAAGGAAAATTCTCACTGAAGAAGCAAATACTCAAAAAATAAAATAAAATCTGAATTTCCAGCTACGTCAGCACACCGAACCGCACTCCTTTCACATGAACAATAGTAAAAGCCAGAATGTTTGCATCAAACAAATACAGAAATGGCTACTGCACTTGGGAATGCAGCAAGACACCTAAAAATACTCCTATTGTACGTGTCCCTCCACTCTGTCAGTCCGTCCCACTGAGGAGTGGCGCTGGGATGTGTGCAGACGTAAATTTACACCATGCAAGGCAGGTGATTTGTCTCAGAAGAAAAACCCACATGTGTCAAGGAGAAGCTCATTCTTAGTAACAGAAAAGAGACTTGTGCTTTGTGTGCGACAGTCCGCACCAGCTCACAGCACCTCACACACGGCTGGATCCAAGTTAGAAAGAAAGGCCATGGGGCTGAGTTCCTCGGGACCCTCCCCAGGGCCAGCAGGTGCTTCACAACAAGATTACTGGCGAGCAGATTAAAGCCGCTTGGAGTCTAATTAGAACGTTACTCTGAAACTCAATTAGGCTAATTGCAGCATTATTTTATTACAGGGAAGGCAGAGTCCAGGACCTGGTGTTCACCCTGACCCTGGTCAATGTGTTAATGTTGGATTCTTCTGCCTTTTTTTCATTTGCTGGATTAGAAGGGAGAAGGTCTGGATACCACCAAATATTTATGTGAACTTCACCTTTCACCATGCAGGGCCTCAGTTACTTGGAAAAAGAGGAGATTGAGCTAAATTACCTGTAAGTCCCTTCTAATACAGTCTATTATTTAACAGTGTTTAAGAGACTATAACAATAATGAAGCTAAAACTGACGTCAGCGGGGCTGTTGCACTGGGAGCCAAGGTGTGCCTTGAACACGAGGCTGGCTTATGAGGCTGACACGCGGCCTCCCCTGTGACCCCTGCATAGTTTTATCCCACACGGTCAGGTCCAAGTTCCATCCCATGTGTGACGCTCGGCAGGCAACATGTCTAACCCCCGTCCACTTCAGAAATAGGGTTCCGTCTAGGAAGAGCCTGGAGCAGAGGGTGGAGAGCTGGGAGCAAAGGTCAGGTGGTGGGAATTTTAACAGCTTCCGTTTCTGGTCCCCTGCTCCGTCCAGGTACCTTACGAGCTCTGTCCATGTCACTCTGTCTTTCCTGTGGCGCACTGATTGTCACCTCCTTCGCATGGAGGACACTGGGCTGAGAAGCCAAATCACCGGCACAAAGACACGCGGCTGATTGTTGCAGGAGCCGGGATCTGAGGCCAGGCCCCGGCAGCAGCCTCCCGTCCATGCGAGGCAGCGGCCCGGCTCGCCTCCAGGCTCGCTCTCTCAGTGACAGTCAACACGGAAAGCGGCCAGCGTGCCCAGAGCTGTAGGGAGGATCGTGAGGTGACAGAGGCAGAGGCACTCTGGGGACCCTCCCGTCTCTCATTTAGAGCTTCCTTCAGAGTTTCTAGAAACTTCAAAGCCCCACAGAAGCCACTAACCTTTCTTCTCCCCTCCTCCACTAAGGGGCTGTCGGGGAGCATCAATTTCGCGAAGTCCTCTTTCGACAGGACGTGCTGGGCTTCTGGGCCTGCATCTGCCACCGCCGCCTGACGCTGCGCTGCCGCGGACATGAGGTCCATCTCGGCGTACAGCCTGCTGGAGAGAGCAGAGTGGAGGTGAGAAGGGGTGGCCAGCCCGTTTGTCAAGTGCCTGCAGAGGGAAGAATGAAAGCCCCCTAACCGGGCCCAGCAAGGACATACGCCTAATGCAGGACTCTTAGCGGTTCAGTCCGTTGGCATTTGCTGCATCCACTTCATTCCCACGTCTGTGAAATGAGCTCAATTGCAGTTAGATTCCTGAATAATTCAGACACAAATCAGATCCCCCAAGCCCCGAAAGAGAAAAGATACAGCCAGCTCTTAAAATAAGGCTGCGCTTCTCCTTCCCTAAGCTGTGCCAGGGAACAGTTTCAATAATTCATCAGAGATTATCATGCTCCTTTGAGGACACCCGTCTCCTCAGAAACCTGAGCCGGCCAGCCACACCCGCATCTCAGGGCACGCAGAGCCCCCACGGGGGCCCGGAGTTTAGGAGTAATCAGTTCAGGCGTGTGCCAAGCATGGTTTATTATCAGCAATTTCACAAAGCTGTTTGGATAAATAAAGCAGCTGTCTCCCTTAATTATCAGTGTATAAAAATGTATTTATGGACAACAAAGGGCTGTCTAGTTGAGTTACTGCTTTCAGCTCTTTTCCAGGGAGAGAGCTGGGAGACAGTTTTAAAAGGTTCACTCTGGAAATGCTATCTGAGCGAGGCAACACCCCTGTGGACGAAGTGAATGAACAGGGTCAGCCAGGCGAACGTCAGCCAGAGGCTGACACCTCAGCTCTGGGAATCCAGGGCCAGGCAGCCAGCAGCAGCCGGCGACCTGCATGACACTGCTGTGTCACTGAGAGGACTCCAGTTCCAAAGCAAGGCTATCCTGTCACTGTGACAGCTCACTGGGAAACTACTGGAGTAGGAAACTCACACAGACATGCTCAAAACGCACGATGATCTATCTGGAAATCTCTGCAGCTTTGCTTTGTTCCTGAGGCGGCTCAGGTGTCCTGCCGTCTCAGACCTTGACACCAGCTGCACTGACGGTGTGAGCAGACAGTGGCGTGAAGAACAGCTGTTAAAACGTTTAGAACATGACTGAAGGTTTGGCTGGCCTGTGGAGTGGCATGGCAGGGAAAGGGGGCCATAAGACGAGCCCACGAGCCCGGGGGCTCTGCACAGAGCCAGGGGGGAGCTCACAGAGGTGTGCTGGGGAGGGCATCGAGCAGCGCCCAGCTCCTGACCCTATGTGCTTTGGAAGAGATGTAAGGAAAAGACCAGGTCCCATCAGTAACTCTCCGAATGAAAATCTAATACCTAGACAGGTGACCCTTGAACAATGCAGAGATAGGGGTTGCTAACCCTCTACGCAGTCGAAAATTCATGTAGAGTTTTAACTTTCCCAAAACTTTACTAACATATATTTATATGCACTATATATTGTTTTCTTATAATAAAGTAAACCAGAGAAAAAAATGTTATTAAGAAGATCATGAGGAAGAAAATACATTTACCGTATTTATTAAAAAAAATCCAGGTATAAGTGGACCTGTGCCGTTCAAACCCATGCTGCTCAAGGGTCAACTGTAATTACTAATAAAAGGTGCTATTCTAGTTTCCTATGTGATTGAATAAGAATAGCCTTTCCTACTAAATTAGTAATTTTACTAAAACTGCCAGATGACATGTCAATAAGTATGTCCCCAGGGTCTACTTTGTGGCCGTCACCAGTACAGAAGTGAGATGCTCTGGAAGACTCCAGTCTGGGGTGTGTGTGTATATGTGTTTGTGCATGTGTGTGCATGTGTGCATGCGTGTGTGTGTGTGTAGGAGCACAGGTAAACGGGTGAGAAGTCAGAGTGCTGTTACAGGGTGCAGAGAAAAGCCCAGCTCAGGGGGGTGCTGGATTCAGAAACTTGGCTCAGAAATTCAGGAACAGCATTTAGGCAGAAGGAACTGCATGGATGGAGGCACAGAGGCCTGTGACAGAATGCTCATCTAGGGCAGTAAAAGCGGAGCTACTAGAAGTGTAGGTCGGGGTGGATGAGATGGGCTTGGAAGCAGGCATGGGACAAATCGGGAAGGATTACGTGTTGTGCTAAGCTGCCACCCTGGCTCTGTGCAATGTAAGGTAGAACCTAAGTTTCTGATGCGGTGACCAATTAGGCAAGAAAGACACTTAAACAGAGAATACTGAAGGGGGGGCTTCAGGAGAGACTGGGAAATATGCAACTACACCCTGGCGATACCCTCTCATCATCGACGGTGTAATCTATGCAGTGACGTGCCTGTGAGCTGCTGACGCTACACGGCCATCGGTGACTCCTGCGCCTTTTCTCCTACCTCAGACCCGTGTGCCTGCGAAGGGGCTGGGACTTAACTAGCTCTGTATCGTGTCTAGGGACCCGCTATCTTTGCAACAGTGAGGTGAAGGCTTTCCGGTTGGTGAGACCACAGAGGAGAAAACGGGTCAGTCCTGCAGCACACCCAAGGCCACACTCGGCTACGCAAATCAATGAGCAGCTCTTGTCAGATGCATTTTAAAATATAAGGTTTTAGTATTAAAAAACAATCAATGAGGGCCCTACAATATGATTTAAACAATAACTGGCAATTTCAGTTACGGAACATTTCTGGAGGGCACAATGATTTTATATCAATTGGACACTAACGTTCTCTAGTTTACAGTGGTACAAATACACTATGCTTGGCTGATCTTTCTCTAAGCATATGTCCCAGTGATTTGTAAAACACCGTTTTGACCAAGTTTCAAGTAGAGTGGGTGCAGTCCTGTGTGATGGCCGTGGTTACACAGTCGTCTTTGTGTTTTCTGTTTTAGAAACACCTTCCTCGGCTGGACAAGGCCCGGGGTGCCTGCCACTCCTGCCAGGCCGAGCCCAACCCAATGAAGAGACCTGGCCTGAGGCTCGGAGGTGCTGGTTTCAATCCCAACACTAACCACATGAGTTGCTGGGAAATAAGTGCTCTGCCCCCCCGAGATGCAAACCCCTTTCTCAGTCTTCCGGATGCTGCCTGTTACTGAAAGTAGGGTAATCAAACCAGTGTGTTAAATACACATACTGGGGGGCTCAAGGGACAATGTCCAGATGGCTTCTCTCCCCCTTTCCTGACTCCTCAAGAGAGAGCCCTTTGCCAAAACACAGAGCTCCCACCAGTATCAAAGGCGTCCACAACTATTTCTCAGAAATTAAAAGGCTTGGGATGGGTTTCTAGGAAGCACGCAGGAGACTCTATTAGACAGAAATGCCATCATTTTCATTAGAACATTTGCATTTATGTTAAAAAAGTGCAGTTATTACTATAAAATTACTTTCTAAATAACTCATTTGCAAGTATTGACATGATGGGTTTTTTACCAAAAAGAGTCCATGTTCAATTTTAACACTAAAGTGATTTTTAATTTAGAGGGCAGCATCAATGCTGGCTATGGTTATGAGGTAGATCCTTTTTAAGGGGAAAAAGTGGCTAGTTCATTAACAAGCTTAAAACCCAGTTGATGGCTCTGACAAGCACGGCTGCCCCGGGCCCACTCACGCCTGGTGGCGCTCTCAAGACATGAAGACACGGCCAAACACAGGACCTCATAACCTAGTGCACGTGAGTTTTGCTTTTAGTGCTGTCCTTTAAAAATAGGCAACCAACAGCTAAGTAGGACTGAGCAGCCTTGCTCTGCAGCCTGGAAATGTGGTCTCTACTCTCTTCAAAGAGGCATCAGCACAGTTTCACACGTGTGATAAAATAAGGTGCCAGTAGTTCTGGTCTTTCCTCTTTTCAAACAGACAGCAAGCACCCCTCTCTACCTGCCCCCCAACCTAACCACTGGAGGGAAGTCGGGGTCCTGCTGAATTGGGTCAGACCCTTTTTCTTTTCTGATGTCACGTGAACAGCAACTTTAAGAAGCACATGGACTCTGCAGGAATTCAAACAGTCCTTGAAGTTGTTTATACATGGACTCGATGCCCATCACAGTGATTTTTCTACTGCAGGCAGCTTTGTGAATGTAAGTACAGAGAACAGCGACTCCTTTTAACTTCATATGCAAAAAAAAGAGAATTATAAAGAGAAATATAAATGCCTACATTTAGAGAGTTTTACAGAGATGTTTTCAGATTATGCTTTTAGAAAATACATCCTGTTGGGGGGAAACACATTTGCTTAGCACGAGGCTGCCTACAGACCACCAGCCGCCTTACCTCTGACATTCAGGCACTTCGGGCTCCTCAGGCGGGGGGCTACCTTCCGACTTCTTCCAGCCGATGACATATTTGCTCACTGCCCCTTGGCGGTGGTAGGACTTGGACATGGACCCAGGGACTGGCGGGCCACCACTGTGAGACACGATGTAGACTTTGGACGTGTCCAGAGACCCCGTATTTTTGGAACAGTGAGCAGAAGGGCTGCCTGAATGGTGTGAGCCGCTGAGGAGAAAAACAGACAAAAGCTGCAATATAATCAGAGTTCAGCAGTGCTGGCACGTCCCCAAACTCAGGGCCACATGCTCTACCCGCCTCTGTGAGCAAAGCCAGCAGCAGGAGGCAGAGGTGTGTCAGTGTCTCGTCTCCCATGGGCTAAAGATGCTCAAGTGCAAGTTGCGTGCCTGGGGCAGAAGGATGTTAAACACAGGGTTTTGGGGCATCATGTGGAACCTATGTATGGATAGACCAGTTTTGGGGTGTCATGTGGAACCTATGGATGGAGGGATCAGTTTTAGGGTGTCATGTGGAATCTATGGATGGAGGAACTGGTTTTGGGATGTGATGTGGAACCTATGGATGGAGGGACCGGTTTGGGGGAGTCATGTGGAACCTATGGATAGAAGGACCAGTTTTGGGGCATCATGTGGAAACTATGATGGAGAGACAGGTTTTGGGGCATCATGTGGAACCTATGGATGGAGGGATCAGTTTTGGGGTGTCATGTAGAACCTATGGATGGAAGAACCGGTTTTGGGGCATCATGTGGAACCTATGGATGGAGGGACTATCTAAGCTGCTTGGTCAAGCAGAACCTCGACAGTTCTATACGTTTCAGTTACATGAGCCAAACACTGCCTTTGCTGTGTGAACCAATCAGGGTGGAGTTTCCTTTAGCCTGTAACATAAATGCCCTTGAATGACACAGATGATAATAGACTGTGTGAAAGGGAGATCCGAGGAGCACTGGCCTGTTACTGCGAACCCTGCCTCAGCACCATCCTTGGAGAAAACACCCCCACCATGGCCTGAGAGCCTGGAGGGGTCCTCCCACTATCGGCTCACCTGACTGACCCCAGCATTCAGAAGAGTTCTGGGGAACGTCAGGCAGGAACTCAGAACTGAGTTAGGAAAGACTGCGGACAAGAGGGCCAGGACAGTAGTAGATGGTGGGCGGTGGTTAAATTCTGCCCACAGCCAAACCTGAACATGTATTTCTCTGCCTAGTCCTTGAAGGTGGGAATCACACATTATGAGTTTTAAAGTCACTGTATAGAAAGACATCAAATAGTCAAGACTGCTCATAGCTACATGTTAAACACCTACAGTTAGAATAGCATCCTTTAAATTTAGCTGGTCTTTAGTGCTTAGAAGCTCAACAGTGGATATGCACACATGTGCTGGTATAAGACCAGTAAGGGCCTCAGGGACAAGTACCACCCAGCAAGGGCCTTTCTGGAGCATTTGTGCAGACTTGCAGGGCCACCCCTACCTTTTCCCCAATGACTGCTCACTATAACCTGAGCACTGCTGAGCTGGGCACTGCTTCTAAAATTCAGAGACAACAGATTGCACTGTGGGAGAGAGATAAGTGGCCTGACTAGAGCAATTAATATCCTTCCTTTTTCTCTCCAATTTAAAGAGAAAATAAAAGCACAAACAAGTGGCTTATTAGTGTGTAAATCTCACAATTAGAAACAAGCTCTTCATCTGAAGTCAGACAGCTGGGCACACAGGTGAAAACGTATCTCACCTGCACACTGCTCCTGTTTCAGGCATCACCCCCCTCCCCTACCCCCACAGGTGGCAGCACCTGGGCCCAGGTGGCCTCTGCAGGTGCTAAGCAGCAGCGGCAGGCTCTTACCTGGAATGAGAGGAGATCTCGCTGAGGTCGCCCATGCTGCCATCTGCAGCGCCACTGGCAGAGGCGGGCGCGTAGCTGTGGACAGCGTACATCTTCGCCTGCTCGTCATCAGGCCCCGAGATGTCGCCGGAGCCGGCCCACGGCTCAGCCCGACTGTGGATCATGGATCTGCTGCCCACCAGGTGCATGGGGCCCAGGCCCGCAGGGGGCATGCATGGGGCCGTGTCGATGCCGCTGTCAGTGGACGCCCCTTTCAGGTAGGTCAGCCCCAGCAGCTCGGGGTCCATCAGGTCCCCAGACCCAAAGTGCTTGTCGTCACTGTTGCTGGAGGTGTTGCTGGACAGCGTGTTGCTGCTGGAGTGGCTGGAGCAGCTCTTATCCCCGATCTGGAGGAGAGAGAGGGGCAGGGAGCTTCACACTTGTCCTGCACAGGTGCACCTCCAGTCTCCGCGCTGTGCAGATACGCATTTCCTACAACCAAGGTCTGAGCGACCCTGAGCCCAGCTAGTCTACCAGCACCATCTTCCACAGGCTCAGGTGACGGTCAGCAGTTTTTATCAGTAAAGTACATTTTAATGAAGGTTAAAATGTTTTTTAGACATAATGCTATTGCACACTTAGCTGACTGCAGTATAGCGTCAACACAACTTCTAGAGGCACCGGGAAACCACAAACTCCTGTGCCTCGCTGTACTGCGATGACGCCCCCGGTACTGGGTGGCAGGGAGCTGAACCTGCACTGTCTCCACGGTGTGGCTGCACTTGCTCCTTTCTGAAGATGATTACTCTCACCCACACTCAGAAGCTACAGACAGGTGAGGTCGCTACAACCCTTCCCACTCTCCTCAAAGTGGGCCAGTGATAGAATTTACCTAAAAAAAATCCTGGTCCCCGATCTCTAATTCCTCCCATAACTCATCTTGCATTAAACGGTAATCTTTTCAAGTCTTGGTTTGTTATTTGTGCACGAAGCACGAAAGTACTGCCACGGTGTCGCTGACCAGAAAATAATCAGCGCAGCCGTATGAACTGGGCCAGTACGCGGAGATTAATAACAGGAGCGGCGAGGCCTTTATCAAGGAAATGCTTTGATGACAAATTGCAGGGCCAGCGCGGTCTGGGGGGAGCAGCGGGTGTGGGCCACAGTGGCAGGACTGTGCCGTCCCTCAGCCAGTCTGGGCTGTAATTTGGGGCTCACAGGATTAAGTGTGGACCCACTGAGCCCGTCTACATGAAGCTGCGGCCGCAGGCACATGGGAGCATGAGCACATGCTCCGAGGCCCGGGGCTATTGAGGTGGGCGCTCTGTGGAGGAAACAGGAGTGCTTTGGGGTGCCTGGGAGACAAAATATGAAGAGAACAGAGGAAGTGTCCCTGTCTCTCCTACGTGCTCATACAGGCCCCTCTGCACAGCCTGGGAACATGGACAAGGCCTGGAGCTCCAGCAAAGGACTGGGATTGAGTCAGGCCCGATCCTTCCAAGTGGTCTGGCCCTTCCTTCTCTCATTTATTCACAACCATCAGATCCTTCAGCAAATCCCAGCATGTCTATCACACATCACGCATCGATGCTCTCAAGTTCACTCCCACCCTGCCTGCTTCTGCTGAGACCACCAGAGATCTGTAGAGGCGGGACTCAGACAAGGTCAGACCCAGGCGAGGGAAGGACTGCTGCACGCGTGCGAACACCCAGCAGCAAGGCCCGCCAATGACACAGGGAGCAGGGGCAAAGACAACTCAAGGAGCTGACAACACTTCTTCACCTGCAAGTTTTAGGAAATAAGCTACTTTAAATGTTGGCCTTACTTGGCAACAACCAACAATTCCTGTTTTCATGTTTCACTGAAAGTCGTTTCACTGAGCTACAGGCACCTGTAAAGCTTGGCCTCAGGGCTGTGGTGGGTTTGTATACAAACCCACTGCTATCAGGACCATCGGCGACTGTGCTCACCGAGGGCCAGCCACGGGGGACTCTCCGACCCACAGACTCCACCTCTGTCCCGGGCCCACGGTGAAGCCATAACAGATTCTGAGCAGGAACACAACTTGGTGACTATCACCGCTGGGTATCAGGGTCAAAAGGCTGCGGATGCCCTTGTGGCTGTGCCAGGGACTGACTGTGACCTTTCTTTGAGGTTCTTCATAAATCAAGCAGAGAAGAAATCTCGACTTTTTATTAATTTTTCACCTCAGCGCTGAGAGACCTGCTAGGTGGAGAGTGTGCCGTGCAGAAGCCCTGGCGACAGAGCTGAGTGACGTGTGCAGAGAGGCATCTGAGCGGCCGCGTGGTGACTTGTGTGTGGAGAGAGCACTTACGTGAGAAAGCGTGTTGGGGGGATCTTTGCAGCTTCCGTCCTTCGGCAGCCCTCTGTCCTTATAGGAACTCAGGACTTTGGAGGGTGGGCCATGCCACTTGGTTTCTGTCACGTGAAGAGGGAAGAGCTGAGTTCCTAATTTCTAGTGTTAACAAAATTGCAAAGAACACTGGAGCCGAACAAATGGTTTGGTACAAACAGGACTGTGGTTCTAGGACTTTCTGGTCTTACCAGTGGACATGCCACGGGGGCGGACAGGACACCCACCATAAGGGCAATGGCCCATTTCCATGCGCATGGCCAGCTAGGACCACACCCCGATGACATCGGGGGACGAGCTGACACGCTGCGTGACAGCACACACTAGGCGGGCACTGAATGGGCGAGTGAATGAGCCAGCGATGGAGCAGAGCGGGAGCAGGAGGAAGGGCGCGGGTGGAGGGGGTGTACCGGAGCTCATTACCCGGGTGTCTGCTTCCGTCCATGGCGTCCTCCCGCTCCCTGGCTCCCTCACAGTCCAAAGGGCCTGGGCCCTGGTGCTCGAGCAGCAGGGGAGACTGGCACCTGGGAAGAACACAGAGCTGAGCTGGCCCGTCACTGAGCTGTCCCACTGGCACATCCCCAGTGTGCTGGCTCCTGCATGGGTGCCCGGAGGGAGAGCCCCAAGGAGAAGCAGTCTTGTGGCAAGTGCACAGTGTGTGTCCACCCAACACCATCAGGGAAGCTTCCAGCACTTGGAACCAGGGGCTCTCGCGTCCCCACTGGGTCAACGGAGGCCCATGGATGACAGTCACCCATGATAGATGGAGGAGCCGCCTATGGCAGCAGGTTAGAGGACGGTCCCAGGTCAGGACATGTGTCCCGACAAGCTCAGGAGGAGCTCACTGCTTTTGTTCCCCTTGTGCCTAGAATATATGCCCCTGATACTAAAAAGAAAATAAGATCAATTGGCTCTCAATTACCTCTGGGTGGGCTTTATTTTATGGAAACCCAAAATACAGCAATATAACCTTACAGAAGAAATATATCTCAGAAACTTTATTACAAAGTGATCTTCATTTACAGAATCCAGCTAGACCCTGGTTTACGGGAAAACCAGGAATGGTTTTTCCACTGATACAAAAAACTCCCCTCTGCTTTTAAAATGCAACTCCATTGAAAAAATGTCTTTCTGTACAACTTATAAGAACCCCATCTATTATTTAAGGTCAGGGACATGTAACTCAGACTGAATCTCTCTTCTGAGCCCAAATTGGAAGGAAAGGGCTCCAGAAGAGACACTTCCCTCTGGTAACAGAAATCCCTCTCCCATCTACCTGGCTGTTCTCTCCTCTAATCTGCTCAGGAAACTCCTTCCAAAGCAGTGGTGACAGACACACTGCCGTCAGGAGCAGCTGCCGTCGCCTGGGGAGCACGTGGCCTCACCTCCCTCCCTCTTCCCCCAAGGGTATTAGTTTATCAGTCAATTCAGCGTCTCCATGTCCCCAGGCATCCTCAGGCTCCCCTGACCTGCTGGCACCTGGACACCAGGTGAGCAGACACTACAATGGATGGTCCTCAGGCCATGGGGAGGCCACCTTCTGCTCCCCTCTACCAGGAGAGAGAAAAGGACTGTCAAAGCTAACCCTGCCTTCTCTGACCATTGAAGTGAGGGGACACTGCCAAGGGCACTGCCCCCAGAGTCCCCAAATCTTTAATTTTCACATGTTCACAAAGATTCTCCTTATTAAAAAGAAAAAGACAAGTTTGGAATATAGGCAAATGCGTGCTAGCTACCTAGATGGAACAATGAGCTTTCTGGCAGAAGCCTGTCCAGCATCTTTACATCCCCATGCGGCATCTTTACGGCCGCACAGGCCCTGAACCAGCCCTGCCCAGTCCCGCCCAGGCCCAGCAGAAGGCGGAGATGAGCGTACCCGTCACAGCCCACTTGCGGTCGCCAGGGCCCACTGCCTCCGGGTCCGGGGTCGCTGGAGGACGACTGGTTGCTGGGCGAACTTCTGAAACGGGGACTAGAATCATTAACATGGCACTGAGGTTTCTGCAGGCAGCACCTTGACCTGGCTTGTTTTACAGATGACTTCACTTTTACAAGGAAGCATACACACTGCGGGTGGAACAGAATAAATCGTGGACACACAAGCTAAGACTCGGTGATGCTGTGGGGCCTCAGGTGCTTACGGCTGGCTCTGAATCACAGCAAGGATGTGGCAGGAACAAGCCTTCACGTCTAAAATTACCACGCAGACCATGATCCAGTGAAATACGGAAGAACAGCAATGCAACCCCCGAGGACTGAATTATGGAAACACCACCATGACTTGGTGTATGAAACTGAAAACCTATGCAGAGAGAAAGCCCCACATATAACAAAACCATTCATTTTCACACATCTACTGGATGCCACCTTGTTTATTCCTGTTTATTTTAGACACACACAGGTGAGTAACACTCCTGAGAACTCGCTTGGTGAAGATTTGTCTGCCGTTTTGCTACAAGAAGCCTCCTGGGTTTTCCCTTTAATTCACTAACCTCCAGGTCATAAGGGAAGTGCTGCAGACCCCTCCCTGCCAGAGGCTGCCCCTTTCACCAGCTACCTGTGTGCCTTCTGAACATGGGGAGTTCATAAACTCAGCAGACGCCTGAGTGAGGAGACCCAGAGGCAAGAGAGCTGAATGTCAAGTTACAGTAACACCCACCCTGCACTCGCTCTGGAAAGAATGGTGGAGAAAGCAGAGGAAGGTCACACGGTTTTATTTATTAGCTAATTACTACGAATACTGTACAGGCTCCATATGGGCCAGGAGAGGTTCCAGCAGTTTACACATATCGACTGATTCGAGCCTCGGGAAGCCCCAGAAGGTCTCGGTTATCACTAAGTTTATTTTTCAGAAGCGGATGCTGGAGGCTGGGCAAGGCAGAGCAGCAGCCCAGGTAATGAGGCATCAAGGCTGAGCCTGGCTCAGCATCCGGCTTCGACTCTATCAGCCCAGAGCCCGAGGAGCTGCTCTGAGGACACGCGTGGTGTCTCCATGGCCCTAAGTGATGTGAAAGCTGAGACAAAAGGGGCAGGAATTAACAAAAAAACAAATTTACTGTTTCGTCCTATATGAATTATGCATCCAAAAAGGCTCACCAGCTTCCAGTGCCATTGGGTTTAACTGTAAAACAAGCGCATTCTCTCATTGAAAAATTAATTTTAAATTCAACTCACTTTGCTTAAAATGAGAGAAAAGCCAAGAAATGCTCATGATGTAGGGACCTCTTAAAATACTCCCCATGTCAGGGTGATGGGATTTAAGCACTGATTTGGCAGTTGTGTTTATACTCAAACAAAACTGTGAACGGCTGTTCACAGTATCTAGAGGTCATGCACAGTAGTTTCTAGGGGGCCCTTCCCAAGATGGTTTAGAGCCTGAGCTGGCCAGGAGGGTCAGGGTGGAGGGGTAAGCCATGGCCTCAGTGGGAGAAATCTGTGGTTAGGACCCGCATTTAAAAAAAAAAAAAAAAAATTCTCAATTATAGCTGACATACAATATTATATTAGTTTCGGGGGACAAAATAGTGGTTAGACAATCATATACTTTACAAAGTTATCTCCTGACATTTCCAGTCCCACCTGGCCTCACACAGTTATTACATCACTGAGGGCTATATTCCCTATGCTGCACTTTACGTCCCCGTGAGTTTTTACAGGTGCCAATTGTGCTTCTGAATCCCTGGAAAGGACCAGGGTTTCATCTGCACCGCAGCAGGGCTGGGAGCAGGGCAGCTCCAAGCACCCCTGCGCCGGGGGCCTGCCCCAGCCCTGCCGGCTTGTTCAGAACCAGCTGACTCAGAAACCATGAAGCCCAGTGGAAAGTCCCTCCCACTGTCTGAGGCTGCAGCCACGGTACCTGGTGCCATCGGGCAGCTTGCGGTCGAAGGAGGTGCTGCGCGGGATGGCCGCCTGGGCCTGCTGGAGCAGCTGCTGGCACTGCAGCCGGTCGGGCGTGCCGGGGGCCGGGGAGGCCCTGGGCAGGGGCTGCAGGGCCGGGGTGGGCACCCGGTGCCACGTGGTGTTCCTCCGGAAGGGGGTTTTGTACTCGCAGGGGGTGCCCTCGCTGTCCAGTTTGTATTCCACCATGGGGATCCGGCAAAGCTCCGAGCACCCTCTGCGGAGCCGAGAAGAGACAATGAGACGGGGGCCTGGAGCCCTCAGCACGGCTTCCTTGCGGCCGCATGTGCTTGTCAGTGCTCGTGGACCATGAGGCCGGGCCCTGCATCTAAGGAGCACCTCGCCTATGACAGAGCAGCGTGTCCTGACTAGTCAGCTCCTCTCCTGCCCCAATCACTGAGCTCAGGAATCAAAGAGGCTCCCTGTGCCCCCACCCTGGCGGCTGGGCCGCATCCACACTGACCACACAGCCACGTGGTGATTCGATGCTGAAATACAGTGGGCACGGAGCTCCTGTCTGGTTCCCCAATGAGGCACTAAAGGGTTGGCACCTGGCACAAGGAGGCTCCAGGGCTGCAGTTAGTTAAATAATTTAAGTGCACTTCTGGACATAACAGCTCAATCTGCAGTAATTAGGGACAGGAGCTCAGAGACACTACAGGCCTTGCTCAAGTGACCCAGCAGAGCTACACGGGACTCCTGTTGCCACATTCCTGCCTAAGGCCCCTAGAAATAAGACACCCCAAACTTATGCGGTGGAAGTGTCGGTCAGCTGTTTGTAGTGACCGTTTCACGTGACAACTCAATTGTATGCATTTACACGTGCAGTTGACTGTCATTTATCCGTTACACTCAATAAAGTTGTAGAAAGAACTTCTTAGAGGACCAAAGCTTCCCTCTGCCCCAAGCACTGGGACACAGAACAGCTCAGTTCTCAACAGCAATAGAGGCTTATTTCTCGCCTTTCGAATCCATGGTACTGGGAGCTGGGGATGGAGAGACGGTAGAAACAAAAACAAAGTCCCGCTTTTGGGCTCGAGAGCCACAGGGCTACTGGTGCTGCCCTGGGAGAAGGGGAAGGAAGGGCCGGAGGACCATGCTGAAGAGATACTCTGTATGTTTAGAGAGAACGCGGGAGTGATTATCTGTTATTAGTAAACTTGACTTCATACCTGCCAGCGCTCCTTCCCCAAAGCAGAATTCATCTCTCTTATCCAGGCACGTTTAAATGACTCTGGATGGACTGCGTGGTTAGTTACATTACTGGCCAAATTTAGTAGGTCCAGCTTTGCACTGAATTGCATTTCCTGTGTGGGAAATGCCAAGGCCAGACAATTACTCCTTGTGGACTTTTATCTTCTCCCAGGGTTTCTCTACTTAGCTAGCTACCACGTCCCGGGTGCTGCTGATTCATCCATAAGGCCAACGACCCAATCAAAAACCATAAAGCCGGGACACTGCAGTAAATACCAAAACACCAAGAAGAGCTACTACGTCTTCCATCCGAACTGACGCTCTGAGCCAGTGGCTGGTGTTCAGGTGACTCCCGGGCTGCCGCTGCCTGAATGGTGCAGGTCAGGGAATTTTCCGTGGAGCCCACCAAGGTTAAAGGTCCCAGAGTTACTTTTTGAATGGAAGGAACAAGCACCTTGCATCTTGTGAACCAAAGGGCAACTTACATCTCCAGTGCTTGTCTGGGTTGCAAGTTTATTAGGTTTGGAAGAAGAAACAAAGAGAAGACAGATGGCTGAGTTGTGCGGTGCGTTTAATTTATGCTGGGGGAATGTAGTCTTTAATAAGCTGTAATTCAGCTTGAGTCTCGGAAGAACGCTCCATCAGTGCATAGTCATGAATAATATCTGAGCGAGTGACACAGGGACTCGTGCAGTGTGGTCAGCTGAAGAGGACCAGGGTGGGATTATTTCATCGCCAGCCTCGTGCACAGTCACATGTACATTATCTGTAAATTCTAAAACCTGGCCTTCTTAGGCCCTAATACATATCAGCTATTCTCAAAAGAAGGGCTTTATTTTTAAATCAACATTAACTTTATAATAATGTGACACTTTTACAGCAACTACTCTTATAGACTATTTCCTTTTTTATTTCTGTGACGAAGACATCATAGAAATACTACTAATTATAACATATCATCAAGCCTGGTCACCTTAGTTCTGCTCTATGTATGAGAAATTCCTTGAAAAGTGCGAATAGAAAATTCAACAACTTCTTAGGGGAACGGAGAGAGGTGTAAATAAGAATTACAAATCAGCCTGCAGACGGCCTTGTGCACAGGGCTCCCCGCGTGTACCTGCACCCACCCTTGCACACGGCTCTTTCCTCCCTGGGTGGTCCCTGCACAGGACGCCAGGTGACTTCATCCCAGCTCATCAGAAGCATCAAAACTGGGGCTGCTGGAAAGGGGCACCCCCTCAAATATTTCCCACCAAGAAGTAAAGGCCAACCGGAAACCAACCTGACTCTATGCAAACAGACCAGGCATGAAAGACACTTCCGAAAAAGCGAGCTGCTCCCTCGTCTTGTGTGTAAATGAAACACTCTTGAAGAAAAGACTTAAGTCTCTTGCTTTCCTGCATCCTGCAGATTCAATTCTTGTGATAAACGCCCTTGGCTTCCTTCTACTCACCCAGCCCAGCAGGGGATGGGAGTGGATGGCAGGGGATGGGAGTGGATGGCAGTGGATGGCAGGGGATGGGAGTGGATGGGAGTGGATGGCAGGGGATGGCAGTGGATGGGAATGGATGGCAGGGGATGGGAGTGGATGGTAGGGGATGGCAGGGGATGGGAGAGGATGGCAGTGGATGGGAGAGGATGGCAGTGGATGGCAGTGGACGGCAGGGGATGGCAGGGGACGGGAGTGGATGGCAGGGGATGGGAGCTGCACTTCCAGCTCCCCGCAGGGTTTTCAGTTTGCCTGCTGGGGGAGACACTCAGAGACGTGAGATAAGGCTCAGGATCGCTTATAAGGAAGTATATCTGGTTCCTCTTTACTGGGTAACAAAGGAACTCATCATCTTCTTAGGCTCCTGATTAGCATGCGATGTAGCCATCAATAAAAACTCAGCTTCAGGGTTAAAAATAAACATCATTTTTAACACTGCTCATCTAACCAGAAACTTCCTGAGTCCAATCTGTCCTAACAGTCTATCCTGGAAGGCAAAACATCTTATTGACCAAGAAGGTCACGGAAAGTGTGCTGGTTGACAACGCAACACGAGAAAATTATAAGAATGACAAGCAGTTCCACTGGCTGGAGCCCTCAGAGGATCTTACATCTTACTGCTTTCTTCTGAAAGACAATGCGCCTTGTCCCTCTGAACTGAGCTTTGTGGACTCCTGGCCAGGCTTATTCCCATGTAAGGGCCACTGATGAACTCTCTCCACACTCAGCAGCATTCTCCTGGCCCCTAAAGCAGGGGTCCTACCAGCAGATCTCTGGTCCACAGCTGCTCCCGCTCCGGGCAAGACTGGCACCGAGGTGATGTCCCCTCTGGTTCACAGTGGACAGGAACCCACACTGTCAACCAAGCCCCGCACCTGTACACCCTTAACCTCAGAGACACCCAGCAAGAGATGCCAGCAAGATGGCATCTACCCCCAGGCCCATTCCCTTCCCGTGACAGCTCCAGTTTCCTGGAAGAACCCTCCATTTACCATCAATCATTTGGGAGCTTGAAGGAGAGGCTGTGGGCTCAGTTCTAAAGGAAGGCCCCCCCCACTCTGCGCAGTTTCTCTGTCCCTTCCCAGCAGGAAGGCTCCACATCAGCCACCCGTTCTCCATGAAAGGAGGGTTTGGGCTCTGGGCTCAAAACCCAGGCCTGCCCAATACAGCTCAGAAATGGGCCAGCCTCTCTGGACCCGTGTTTCCCCGCCTGCCCGAGGAACAGAACAGCACAGGAGCGTCACGCTTACACTGTATGAAACTTGAGCTTCCTGAAGTAACAGCTTCACAAGGAAGAGGCCATTTACGAACAGATATGACCCTCTGCTCCTATCAAATAGAGAACACCAACATTAAACAGCAAGAGGCACCTGAACTCTGACAAAAGTCCTCGTTAACTCACTCTACCCACACTCAGCAGCAGCAGCACACATAACGAGATAATATATATTTATGGAAGTAAGGGGTTGAAAGGTTCAACTTTATGTAACAATCAGAATCTCAGACAATTTGAGAGCCGTAAAATCCCCCCCTGTGCACCCACCTAGAGAACAATACATCATTACTCCATTCCTTTATTCCTGAGTCTCATTATAGAGGCAGGACGCATGACTTTATGCTGCTTCCAAAAGAAGGGAGGGGGTGAGTCCCCGGGGATAATAAATAGCGATAATTCCTTTGAAGAGTAGCAAAACCAACTGAAAAACCTAGAGAACTGAGAGAGTTAAAGAAACAAGGCTTATTCTTTTTTTTAAAAAAAGGGCATTTGAACAAATTAGCTGGACCTGGACTGGTAGGCCATGGACCCTCAGCCACAGCTTCATCATGTAATTACAACCTGCATTTGCTGTACTCTGAAAAGCCTGTTGTTTTTATTTTATTTGCCTGCATCTTGGAGAATCTTTATAAACCCAGTAATCTAAGGAAAACCTTACAACATATTCCTGCGCTGTCCTTGCTCCAATCTGCCGCTCACCTTGTCGGGCGCTTGTCCCAGGTACACTACGCCACTGCCAGTTCGGAAATGTCTGAGGTCATACGAGGGGCATCTCCAGTTTTCAGAGAAAGCTCCGAGAGGCCGGAAAGGTGACACAGCTAATCAGAGACAGGCTCACACTGGGACCCAGGATCTCTGACTCCTAGCTCAGTGCTCTTTCCAAAACCCCTGGCATCTCCTTAGAAAACCATCAAAGGACAGTTCCTGTGGCCACACCTGCCATATTTTCCACTAGGAGCTAAAAAAAAATAAATCTTTGGAAACAAAGGCCGACAGACCCCTTGAAAAGAACTGCCTGCTTCTTTTGTATTATGTACTTTGCAAAAGAAACCTTTATAGCCCCAGGGATGAAAGCAATCACTGGTATTTTAATCTTTTTAACGTCTGTTATGCTAATAGCCCGCTAATAGCTAAATGACTCTTTCCAAGTCACCCAACAAGGTGACGGGGATTGGAAGCTCATTCACTAGATTCACAAACTCTTTAGGTTGCATAAAAAAATCAAAAGCTTGCCACAGGGAGATCAACAGAGTACAGT